CCAGATGGGCGGGATACAAACAAACAAACAAACAAACAAACAAACAAACAAACAAACAAACACATAGTTTCATTAAAACTACCAACATGAATCTGACCCAACTCCAGGAGGGCCTGGCGTGCTCTGGTCCATGGGGTCAGGAAGAGTCAGATACAATTTAACGACTAAACAACAACAAAACTTACTGATAAGGACTACATGAGGACAGTATGGCTCTAATTAGCAAGAAAAATACTGTAAAATGTTTCATGGCCATGTGTTTTTGCTCCGTAATGTTGAAAAACTGTGTAGAATGTTGGAACATAGAGAGATTTTCTGGGTGAGGGAGAAGATGTGGTATTTTAAATTTATTATTACTCCTTTTTAAAACTTTTGAATGTTTGTGTCTATAATAATTTTCCATCTACGGCACTGCTCCTCTGCCCCCCCCACACACACTACGCCATAGGCGACCCCCTTCTCAGCATCTCTGGGGTCCCATTTACAACTTAGCCTGTATATGATGGTCCCACTTCAGTCTTTCAGCCCCAATAGTGCTGAGATATCAGGCGAAAGCAATCTGGCACTAGCCATATATGGACTAATATGCCCTTACTACTATGAATAATTTAATAGCTTCCTAAATTTCTCAATGCACAGTGGATTTCCCTGAAGCTATGAAAGGCACTGAAATATCTTTAAAAATCTGAAAATATATGAATTAGTGGTGTATCATAGGTGTGCCAAAACCAGGTAAAAAACAGAATGAAGCCCATATGTAAAGGAGATATCTGTGATGAAGGCTGTTGTTAGTATTGTATTTTTGTTTTGTTTTAAATTGAAATTGCTTGCCATGCTAACCCATGCTAAAAAAAATCACAAGGCTCAAAACATCTTGATTTAATAATTAACTGAATTTTCAAGTGTTACCACGACATTATGATTTTTAGGAAGCCATTTGACATTAACTGTATGGACACCTTTGCACCTGGATTTCACAAATTAATTCCCAGCACTCCATTCCATTGTCCCAACATACTGACACATTAAGATAGGAAGAAGGAAGAGATTCCAGTGTGTACAATACCTATACACCCAGTGGAACAGATTTCCTTTTCACTGTTTGAATCACCAGGGCAGGCAGGAAGTTCAGCTCCTTGCCAGTGGTGTTCCTGAATTATAGAATTACAGAATCATAGTAGTTGGAAGGGGCCTATAAAGCCATTGAATCTGACACCCTGCTCAATGCAGAAATACAGATCAAAGCAGATCTGACAAATGGTTGTCCAATTTTCTCTTGTATACCTCCAGTGTTCCTTTATTATTGCTGCTTATCAGAAGATGGTTGTTTCATTTGTTTCTTATGGAGGAAAATACAAGTATTGATCTGAGAACATTATTGCAGAAGAGGCAAAATTTGTCTCATCAAATTTGGATTAATCCAGTTTCCACTGAAATAAGAGCCTAAAGGTCTTTGGGGAATTGTGTGTGCTCTCATCATCCTTATGAATCTGTGCGGTACCTGTTCCTGAGTAACCCAGGCTTATGATAATAATAATGGGCTCGTAATTAGTTTATAGTAAGAGTTGGATATTAAACACAAAAATAGTAAAGTAGACTTTGTCTAGAGGGGTGGGGTATAAGTCAAAATAAAGTAAAGTAAAGAGTAAATTGACCAAAAATTAAGCACTGTTTAAGATTATACCTGGCTTTTTGTTCCATAGGGAATAGAATATTGTTTGCCTGAGAGTGTATGAATCCTTCTTGCCCTCATGGGGATGCCTTTAGACACAATCTGAAATCCAAAAAGAGAGGGGGGAAAGGCTTATCTCAAGAACAGTATCCAAGAGTAGGATTTCTATAGGGTCGACAAACAAGAACCTGGAGCTTCAAAGGAGTATAAACTATTGTGTCCTGCTTGATTATTTGTAGGGCATAATGGAAATTATGTCATTACTGAATATGAAAACCTTGGAAAGTTATCTTTCATTGTACTACATTGTAGTGTTAAAAACTATACACTAGCATCACTCATTACAATTTAAGTTTAAGTAGTACCACACTGTGTTACTTGTTGCATTGCTTCTGGTCCCCCCCATTATTTTTAATTACTCATTTTCATTTTGTATTTTCATTAATCTTTTGGCTTGATAAGAGAGTGGTGTAAAGCAGTGATCCCCAACCTTGGCCCCCCAGATGTTCTTGGACTTCAACTCCCAGAAATCCTGGTCAGCAGAGGTGGTTGTGAAGGCTTCTGGGATGTGTAGTCCAAGAACATCTGGAGGTCCAAGGTTGGGGACCACTGGTGTAAAGCACTCCTGCCAGAAGGCCTCTGGAAGTGCCCTTTAAAATGTCTTCAAAAGTAAATTTAAAAGCAACTTTTAAAACGGACTTTTCTCATTCATGCTGCTATGTTATATTTGAAATGTAAATGTTTTGCTGAAATTATAAAGAAGTTAACTTGTTAGAGCTAATTATGTTACTTATAACTTATTACTTCCTGGGCCCACACCCTTTTCTTTGAAACCACAGATTGCAACTGCTCTGTGCTTATCTACTTCTGAGCACAATTCAGAGGTTAGTATTAGTTTCCAAATTAGCAACCATATTTGTCAGCAAAAAAGTGAAGGGCCTAGAGCTCTTTTTGCCCTCACAGACAGGCTACACTTCCATTCAGCAATCCTGCCTCCTGGGAAAACGGTTTTGCACAATGACAGACTGCTGTCACCTAATTAGCAGTGGGAAAAACTGAAAGAAAAGTGAGGGGGAAATGGCAGGAAGGATTCTGATGTTTTTCAGAGACATAAATATTTTATTTTATTCTTGAAGGCTTTCAGGGCCAGGATCTGGACATTAGGAAGAAAAACCTCAAGAACACAACCAGACAGCCAGTAAAACCTACAACAACCATATTTTAACTAGAAAAGTTAATAACAATTTTCTTTGCCATTTCCAGCTTTAATTACAAGAGATCATAGAATAATGGAATCACAAAGTTTTAAGGGGCCTGTAAGGCCATCGAATCCAACCCTCTGCTCAGTGCATGAATCCAAATCAAAGGGTATCTGCCTGGTGGTTGTCTAAATTCCTCTTGAATGCCTCCAGTGTTGGAGCACTCACCACCACCTCTCAAGGTAATTGGTTTCACTGTCTTACTGCTCTAAGAGTTACGAAGATTTTCCTGATATTCAACCGAAATCTGCCTTTTTTGTAGCCACATATTCAGCTTGTGATCTACGACAATTCCAAAATCCTTCACACTTGTAGTTTTGCTGAGCCAGGTCTCCCCCATCTTGTAACTGTGCAATTCGTTTCTTTTTCCGAGGTGCAGTACTTTGCACTTATCCCTGTTGAATTTCATTCTGTTGCTTTCGGCCCAGTACTCGATCCTATCAAGGTCACTTTGAATTGTGTTTCTGTCTTCTAGAATATATTAGCTATTCCGCCCAATTTTATATCATCTGCAAACTTGACAAGCATTCCCTGCACTCCCTCATCCAAGTCATTAATAAAAATATTGAAGAGCATCAGGCCCAGGACTGAGCCGTACCCCACTTGTTACTTCCTCCCAGTTAGAGAAGGACCCATTAATCATCACTCTCTGAGTACGAACCTGTAGCCAATTGTTCAAGGTGGTAAGGTATTTCTTGACTTATATCATCTGCAAACTTGACAAGCATTCCCTGCACTCCCTCATCCAAGTCATTAATAAAAATATTGAAGAGCATCAGGCCCAGGACTGAGCCGTACCCCACTTGTTACTTCCTCCCAGTTAGAGAAGGACCCATTAATCATCACTCTCTGAGTACGAACCTGTAGCCAATTGTTCAAGGTGGTAAGGTATTTCTTGACTATTTGTTTATTTATTTATTTATTTTATTTATTTAATTTATACCCCGCCTATCTGGCCCACCGGACCACTCTAGGCGGCTTCCAAATATAAAAGCAAATAATAAAACATAGACAAATACATAATAATCAAACAAGAACAGCAGTAAAGATAAAAAGGAAAAGTAAGAAAAAAAATCAAGAGTTGGCTAGAGGGAAGGCCTGAATAAACAGCCATGTTTTTAATTGGGTTTTAAAGGTGCCCAGCATGCGGCCAGCGTTAGAGAGATGTGTTGATATTTTCTCACTCCTGGAAGGAGCCTGGCCGCCGCATTCTGCACCACCTGAAGTTTCCGTGTCAGCATCTCCATTGCGGAGCTGTGCCACTATGTCTTTTGTTTGTCTTTTGCTACTCACATACCTGGTGGTGGAGGAGGCTCTTGAGAGTCCCCTGGACTGCAAGGAGAACAAACCTATCCATTCTGAAGGAAATCAAGCCTGAGTGCTCACTGGAAGGACAGATCTTGAAGCTGAGGCTCCAATACTTTGGCCATCTGATGAGGAAGAGAAGACTCCCCAGAAAAGACCCTGATGTTGGGAAAGTGTGAAGCCAAGAGGAGAAGGGAACGACAGAGGACAAGATGGTTGGACAGTGTCACCGAAGCTGCCAACATGAATTTGATCCAACTCTGGGAGGCAGTGGAAGACAGGAAGGCCTGGCGTGCTCTGGTCCATGGGGTCACAAAGAGTCGGACACAGCTTATTGACTGAACAACAACACTCACATACCTAAATGCTTTTTTCTTGCTTTTAGTGTCTCTAGCTAAACTTAGCTCATTCTCAGCTTTTGCCTTCCTAATGCCATCCCTGCATTTCCTTGCTACTTTCTGTACTCATCCTCAGTGGCCTGGCCTTCTTTTCATTTTCTTGTCCATGTCTTTTTTTTAGGTTCTCCCTGAGCTTTTTGTGATCAGGGGGGGAATCTTAAGTTTTAATACTGAACTTCCTTCCTTTAAGTATAATTTAGTGTCTAATTAACGCCCAGTTTATTTTCCTTGTGTCTCCCTCCGTCTCTTCCTCTCCCCAGCTTCTCCGCAGCTCAATCAATTATGATGGAGAGCTGTGAAATGCTATTTCTGCTGTAGAAGTTGTCTTGTCCAGGGATAGTAAATAGATATAGTTTTTAAATATGTTTCTCACCCGTTTGTAGAATGATGTTAATTAGGCTGCTTTATCGCTTCTTCATACCTGGCTGCCGACGACTTGCAAGCAAGCTAGTTCAGCTGCTTATTTCCGTCCGCTGTTCAATTGGGGAGTTTCCTGGATCAAACGTGGGTAACCACAGTTCCCCTGTAATCAACAGGCTTCTCCCCCGTTTCACCACCTCTTTGGGGTGGTTTTAACCCCCTGGGGGGTCCCAGACAGGTCGGAATTTGCTGCTGTCTCATTGCAGCGTCAAGCTCAAAGTCTCTGAACCATGAGGGATTATCCAGGCCCTTGGCTAAAATGTTGAACAGGAGCCCCTCCAGCACCACCTTCTGAGTTCTCCCTTTCAAGTCCCATCCCAGAGAGATAGTCCAGAAGGATCCTGTGGTCAGTGCTATTGAAAGCTGCTGAAGGGTTCAACAGAACCAACAGGGATGCACTCCCCCTGTCCAGTTCCCAGCATACGTCATCAACCACCGCAACCACCAAAGTGGTCATCCCTTAACCAGGCCTGAAGCCAGATTGAAATGGATCTAGATAATCCATCTCATCCAGAAACCTCTGAAGCTGAGAAGGTATGGCCCACTCCAGCACTTTGGCAAGAATGGAATATTTGAGACTGGCTGGTAATTCAGAAGCATTTTGGCTGTAGACCAGTGTAATTATCCAGTATTGTGGGAATATGATACTTCCTTGAATAGCTTTGACAAATAAGATAAAATCACTTTTTAAAGAAACTAATTTAATTACTAGAACTGCTCTTAAATATTTTTTCTTCATTGGCATTTGAGTTCAAAATGGCAGAATCACCTGATCTTCCATTCCAACAGCTTTGAGAGCTTGTCGTCCACGATGAGAAATGGCCAGATTAATACTCCTGCCATGAACTATATCAGAGCCACGGATATCTGAAAGAAAATGGAATAGCACTGACTGCTTGATTGCAAACAAAATGTAGGAAGACTCTGTATGCACTTGCAGTTGATAGTTAGAGGGAGGGAGGCTTTCTGCAACCATCCAATTTCAGACAAGATGGAAAAGTTCCTGCCTTCTTTCCCCCCTTCTGTGACCAAAGCAGTGAACATATTCACTTACTCTCTGGTTATACATACAAGTCCTATTTCCTTGTCATACATGTATGCAAGAGCCACATTTCTTATTTATACACAAACACTATTCAATTATAAATACAAACAGATACACACTGTCAGGTCATACATACTTCCCATTCTCTCTCCCACACATCTCTATTAATCAACTTCCACTTAACTTACAAAAATGAAGAAAAAACATAAATACAATATCAACATCAATAAATTATAGTATTAAATAACATTAGAAACAAACCCTATATATAGCACATTGAAATCTAATATATGAATGAAAAAGGACAGAGAGAAAGGAGCAGGGCAATTGATGACAGCAACTATGATGGGCAAATAGGGTGAATGATGTAAGTGAATGATAAAATTAAAAAGGTGAGCAGCTGCAGGGATTGGGAGCGATGGGATGGGGGGAAGGAGGCCAAGCAATGATATTTCTCTTACCATCCCAGATGGAAGAAAAAGAGGTTACTTACTGGTAACCATAGTTCTTCTAGTGGTCCTCTGTGAATTCACACAAACGGGTTGTTCTGCCCCTGCGCTGAACGTCTCAGAAGATTTTAGAGCTTAAAAGCACAAAGTTAGTGGGACATTCTCCTGTGGAGCACATGCTCCGCCCACCTAAGATTCCCTTCAGTTCCTAGAATTTGTCTGCCGGGCAGAAGAATCATTTAATATAACCCGTGACGGACAGACGGGAGGATGGGTGAATTCACAGAATTCACCATACAAGAACTATGGTTACAGGTAGGTAACCTCTTTTTCTTCTTCGTGGCCTCTGTGAATGCACACATATGGGTAACTGACAAGCTTCACTTCCCGGATGGTGGGACGTTACGGTAGGAAGGATGCCAATACAAATCTGCCAAATCCAGCATCAGGTAATGCCTGACAAAGGTCAATGGGGCAGACTACGTTGCAGCACGACAGATGTGAGGTATCTCAATTCCACACTGGGAGGCAGTAGATGTTGACAGCGCTCTAGTGGAATGTGCATTCAAATGATCAGGAGGTGGTTTGCCTGATAGTTTATATGCCAGAGAAATAGTTTGGACTATCCATCTGGAAATGGATTGTGATGAGGCTGGGCCTCCCTTGTGAGGTCCATGGAAACATATGAAAAGTCAGTTAGTTTTCCTGAAAGCCTTAGTTCTGTCAATATAAAATGCAAGAGAGCATCTTACATCTAGCCTGTGGAGCATGCGCTCTAGAGAGATTGATGATGATGGGAAAAACTATTGGAATATAATTGGTTGATTTAGATGAAATTCTGATACAATCTTGGGCAGAAAAGAGACATCAAAATACAAAGTCACCTTGTCTGGATGAAATTGGATAAAGGATGGATCACTGGCTCTTTTAGCAGATGTTATAGCCATCAGAAAAGATGTATTTAGAGAAAGCAACCTAAGATTTGAAGAGGCCATTGGTTCGAATGGTGGGCGCATGAGGGCATTAAGGACAATTTGTAGTGACCATTGGGGAATAATACATAGGTAACAGAATTGGTACACAATGTTGTCGAATTGGAATCTACAAATTTTTTTATGAGAGGGATGGATCGAAATATAGAAGTAAGCGTCCTGTAGACTGATCACAACAAACCATTCTCCCCTTTATCTGGGTTTTTTGAAAAGGCTGGTGTCGATGAGACTGATTTTGATTCAGAAAGGATTATGTTGATGGTGGTGGACCTTGAAAGGACCTGTCAACTGGTTGTGATCTGAACTGTTGATATGGCTGGGATCTCTGATACAATTATTGTTGAAATGATTATGGATAGAATTGAATCTGTCTGTATTGAAGTTGTTGGTATCGAAAGGATTAGTGGTTGGTGTATGATCATGCCGTTTTCCGTATTTAAAGGTTTTCCATAGTTTCGTCTGTTTTCTGATTAAAGAAACCTGTACCATCAAAGGAAAGGTCTTCTATCATTGACTTGGCATCATCAGATAGTCCGGTAGATCTAAGCCAGGCGTGTCAGCGCAATGCTATCGAGAATACTAGGGTATTCAATGCCACGTCAGCCACATGTCTAGCCAAAATCCTTTGTAGGTGGCCTTGGTATGGGCATTAGTCAGTTCAGTTTTGATTGATTCAGGTGCGGATTCCAGTATCGAGAGAATAATGTTTTAAAGTTGGCACTGATAAGCGCCCATCACTGCTTGATAGTTGGTGACTCTAAGTGAAAAGGATTGGAGTGAATAAATTCTTCTACCGATGATGTCAATTTTCTGACCCTCCTTATAGTAGGGGCCACTGAAGACTTATTTCTGGCTCTGGACTGGTTGGACTCAACAATTATAGAATTGGGAGTAGGATGTTTGGCCAAAAATTTGGTGTTTGTTCCATGTGTCTTGTACAGGTTTTCAGTCTGTCTTGAGATTTGTAGCGTAGATGGTGGCTTCTCCCATGCTTCCTTGAATTAGTTTGAGCATTGATGGAATAAAAGTAAGCCTAAATGGAAGTGTCCTTTCTTGACTAATGTTGTTGAAGATTAGATCTGCCTCAGGTGATGGAGGTTCTTTGATATGTAGTTGTAGGGATTTAGCCATTCTGGATATCATCTGTGAATAAGAAGTGAAATCCTCTGAAGGAGATGGAGGATGATTATCGATAGCATTTGAGGGAGGTTGCATGTCTCGCACATGCTTCGGTTCTTGATAATATGAATGTCCTTGGTATGGTTCCATGTGATATGGATCGCAATACAGGACAACTTCACCCACATCAAAATGATAGTACCATGGAAAATTGATATACTGGTAGTACTCTCCAGACGGAGGCATATATCGCGGAGGAGAAATATGCTTCCATTTCTCCCGATGTCTTTGGGTAGAGTGTTGAGGAGAGTCCGATCCTGAAAGTTGGATTTCAATCGCCCGCCCTGACGCAGGGCCAGAATGGGCTGAGGCCTGGCTGGATGGCGCACCAGCCACTGAGAGGCCAGTGTGCTTCCGTTTCTCCCAATGTTTTTGGGGAGAGTGTTGAGGAGAGTCTGATCCTAAAAGTTGGATTTCAATCGCCCGCCTTGATGCAGGGCTAGAATGGGCCGAAGCCTGGCTGGATGGTGCATCAGCCATTGAGAGGCCAGTGTGGGGAGATAGGCTACCAGTTGGCACTGGAACGTGAGCCTTTTTTTTGTTCATGGTCATCTCCCAAAAGTGAGATCAGAGCCTTTGGAGTCTTTGCTTAAGTGCCAGCTTGGTGAATTTTTTACATGCCGCACAAGAATGGGTTGGGTGTTGCTTGCCCAAGCAGAATAAACAGCATTTGTGGCTGTCAGATAATGGGATCTTATTTGAACAGCTCTTATACCTTTAAAAGGAGCTGTTGAGGCCATAAAGAGTGGGAAACCAGAGGGACAGATGGTTGAAGAGATGGGGGAGGGGCGGGAAGCTAAAAGCAGGAAAGGCAAAGAAACGGAACTGACTGACAGGGGAACGTTGATTATAAAATACTAATATAGTCGCTAAAAATCGCTCAGAAACACGCTCTATTCTTCTGGAGATCTGAATGGCGATAAAAAGGAACTGAGTGGAATGTTAGGTGGGTGGAGCATGTGCTCCACAGGGGAACGTCCCACTAACTTTGTACTTTTAAGCTCTAAAATCTTCCAAGACATTCAGCGCGGGCACAGAACAACCCATTTGTATGCATTCACAGAGGCCACGAAGAAGAACTACAGCCAGTGATAAATAGCTCAGGGATGTGTGTATGTGTGTTTTCCTTGAGGAGTAAGTCACACTAATTTCAAAGGGAAATAGCAACAAGGGGTTCAGTGGTCTGTCTTTTACTCCATAGAGCAAAATTCAAGCACAATTTATATCCAGTTGAGACTCTTTGGGGGACTGGACTCTTTATGTTATATGCTGTCAAGTCAGAACCAACTGATAGCAATCCTAATAAGGCTTTCAAGATAATTGAGATATTTAAGGATGGGTTTACTAGTTCCACTCTTCCTGTGTGGAGATTCTAACCTAGGCCTCCTGAGTTCTAGTTCAATATTCTGTCCACTACACCACACTGTACTCTTAGATTTATAGAATTCTGAGTAAGGTAAAAGAAAATTTAGATGTGGGAGGAGAGATTTTGACGAAGCATGGTTTGGGTGAACTGAAAAATGCCTGCACCACCACTAATATTTACCACAACACCACAAGAATTCACCATTCTGAAAACATCTACAGCCCTTAAGAAATATCCTTTTGTCAGAGATCCCAACTATTTTATTCATAGAAATCAAACAAGTAAAATGTCCTGTTCAGGTGTTCAGAACAGGTATAGAAAAGTGCCATATATGGACTGGACAACAACATGTCAGAAGAGGAGAACCTCCACGATCTATGAGGGATACTCACACAAGCTGGAATGCTGATTTGCTGGGGTCTTGGTACATGTGGAGAACTCTTGTAGGTGGCAGCACCTCTCCTCTTCAGATTTATCACTCTGAACATGCAGAAAGAGACAGCACCACAGACAGAGGGGGCAGTGCTGCAGTTCTACCCTTTATCTATATTAGGTAAACAGACATACTACACCCTAAATTGGGGCTACTCTTACCTTTATAATGGTTGTTGACATTATGTATACAGTATGTGGTAGAATCGTATAAAAATCAGTTTTCATCCTGAGTTCGCAAATGTTCATTCAAAATACATTTTAAAGAAGTGTTATCCTTGTTGTTTTTTAAATTCTTCTATCTATCCTGTTCAAGTACAAAGTGCAACTGTTTTTCTAAAGAGGTGCATCCAGTTGAGGAAACCTGAATCCTTGCCTTCCCTAGACACTTACTTTCAGTTTGGGAACTGAGATGAGTGAAAATAGACTTGGCAAACCACAAACAGCTAAAAGTAGGTATATAATATACAGGTCAGAACCAACTCAAGGTATGTGAGATATTTAAGGGATGGCTCTACTAGTTCCATACTCCTCATGCAAATGGTTTCTGCCTTTGCCACCCCATGTAGCCCCCTCTCAATCCCCCTTTTCCAGGAGTTCTATGGGCCCTTCTGAACAATGGGGATTGTGCCATGTGGAAGGAAGGCAGCAGTGAAAGGGGGAATAACCAGCCATTGGGTAAAAGAGACATTTGATTCCAGGAGGAATTATACTTGTGTAAGACCCTCAGCCCCTTTACTCTAAATTCCCGTTTGCAGCATAGACACAGTCTCCACTGTGAAGTACCACTCATATTACAGTCCAAAAAGGCTTTCCAGGGCCTGTGCTTGGCCATATGGGGAAAAGCCAAAGAGGAATATTAATTCTGCAAGCTGTCATTTGATCAATCAATCATCAGACACACTCCTTCAAAGTAAAGCATGCTGTTCTCATGAAATTACAAACACAAAGCAAAACAATGATAAAAAAGAAAAAGCTAGTTTCTCTCATACAAACACACACATCATAAACCAACAGGATTTGCACACAGACACTTGGAGTAGACTTTTAGTTTAGTTTAATAACTTCATAATAATTTAATTTAACCATTTAATCTTAATTTAATACGAACATCAGAATAAACATACCTGGTCTGCTTTCATAAAGTTCTACTACAAAACCCCTTCTGGCAAAGAAACAAGCATTTAAAGAACCAACCTGCAACAATAACAACAACAGTTAAGGGGATTATAGAGATGGGAAGAAGTTTATTTATAGCAACTTGGTCCTTAATTCAAAATTAATGCTTTTTCAAATTTTCAATTACCTTCTTCAATCTAAATATGTTGGTATCTATCTTCCACCTTTTTGTTTCTTTATAATCACAGTTTATATTAAACTCCATATTAACATTTGCATGATCAGATATTTGTCTAATATCTATTTCTATATCACTTACCCTAGGTAGCAAATCATCTGAGACAAATATATAATCAATTCTAGAGTAAGTCTTGTGCTCTCCCTTTGTTCTCCTCCCTCCATATTTCCTTCATATCTGTATTACTAATTAACTTACATAGACTCATTTGTCCCCTTCTTTCCTAATTTTTTTGTAATTTTGTCTTATCCTCAATATCCATAACTATACATAATAACAAAACCTAAATGAACTTTATCTACTTCCAACACTGTATTGTGAATTTACCTAAATTGAAAGATTTATTTAATAGACTATTAATGGGGGAAGAAATTCCAAGGTTTTGGAAACATTAAATGTTAGTGTTAATTTTGAAAACAGATAAGGACTCAATGACTATAGGGTCATATAGACCAATTTCATTGATTAATCAGAATGCTAAAATATTTACAGCTATACTAGCTTAAATGGTCTTATTGAAGAATATATTGGTAAAGATCAGAATGGATTTTTAAAGGGTAGAGAAATGGGGGATTTAATAAGAAAGGTATTAAAAGTAATCAATACAATTAAAGAGACAAAGACAAAAACAGGGATACTATCACTGGATCTTTTTAAGGCGTTTGACTCGGTGGAATGGTCAACTTTAAAAATATTAATAAAAGAATTAGGTTTTGGTGCATGTTTTAGAAATATTATTCAGCAACTATATTCAGAGAATACTGTCACGGTTTTAGTATATGATGGTATGACAGAAACAATTACATTAGGCTGTGGAACAAGACAAAGGTGTCCCCATCTCCAATACTTTTTACTTTGATAATATAATTATTAACAAATACATTTAGAGAAGATATCAAAATAAAAGTATTAGGGAATAAAAATAAAATCAAGATAAACTTATTTGCAGATGACACATTACTATCAATTGAAGATCCAATGAATTATATAGAAAAGATTAAAGGGCATTTAAAACCCTTTGAATTAAAAGAACTGCAGAATGTGATTAATATGTATTGTAATGAAAATAAAAGGGCAAGGATAAATAAAACATGAAATGTACGGATGATAATATTCAAAGAAAAGGGATAAGTGTAATATATAAAATGTTAGTAGAAGATTAATATAAAACAATAGCTTTGAAAGAGATATGGCAAGAAATTAATGTAGTAGCATGAAAGAGGATCTGGGGAAAAAGAATAATGAAAATATGTCAGTTAGGATAAAGGAAGACTGTTATAAAGTAATATAGAGATAGCATTTAACACAAGTGAAATTGAATACATTGAATAAAGAGTTATCATCTATACATTGGAGAAGTAAAAAAGAAAGAGGAACAATCATATATGGTGGGCATGTAAGGAAAGACAGAAACGTGGATTATAAGGATACCTTCTGGAGGAAAGCTGAGTGACAATCTCAATACAACTTCTATATTATATCGGATTTGATACGTGGGAAGCCTTTGGGACTTTGAAATATCGCACTGAAATTGGAACTGTACAAATATTGAAGTGGGATAGCCAGAGATTTTTCCTAGTTTCGTCTTGACATCTGGAACATTGTTTGGGACACTGGAATATCATATTGAGGCTGGAACTGTACAGATATTGAGGTCTGGAACCCTGTAATTGTTGTCAGCTTGGACTTTCTTCATTGGATTGCATGGGACTCTGGTAATAGAGGTCGAGAGAGATAACATCATTGCTAGGATTCTAGAGAAGAAGGAACATTTTTGCCATGGTTGTACTTTAAACTGCTGGGCTAAAAGCTGATTTATATACTATAATACCTGGGTAAAGATTGGAGGAAGATCTTAGGAGAGGTTGCTCGTTGTGAGTTTTGTTTGGGGGTTAAATAGGGGAAATCTCTGAAAGAGCAAGTGGTGTATTTAAGGCTTGGTTATTTTGGTAAAGGGTATAGTAAAATTCACACAACCTCTATTCAGAGATAGTAGGAAGAATATTGAGATATTGTTACAGAAAAGATTGAAATGGCCTCCTAAAAACCAAAGCCCCAAATGCCTAGAACCTCTCCTGCCCAGTCTCAAAGTGTGGGAAAACTAGTGGCACAAGTATCAGACAAAGAATGGCAGACTACCATGCAAAATTTACTAACAACAGGATTTCAACAAGTAAATGTACATCTCAGCCAAATAGCAGATCAGATGAAAGAAATGAAAAAGGAGATATCAGAAGCCAAACAACACATAACTGAAGTGAAAACAAAAACACAAGATCTTGAGGAAAAAGTGAGAGGTACAGATACTAGAGTGAACCAAACTGAAGAAACATTAGAGACAGTACAGAAGAATCAAAAACAAAATGACAACAGATAAATAATGCTGGAGATAGAGAGAGCATCGAAGATGCTCAGATTTCAAAATGTGCCAGAAAAGGAAGGGGAGGAACTAGAGATACTAATGAGTAAAGCTTTGGCTACAGAAATAGGGACAGAAACAGCTGACTTTCATCATTTTTGGAAGCAACTTTCAGGCTGAACACAGCATACACCAGAAGGAATAAGCTACCCAAAGAAATTCATGTAAGATTTACGAAGAAATCAATTAGAGACAAGGTTTTAAGAGCCTCACATAATAAACAATTGATAATAGAAGACAAGAAAATAAATGTCTTAAAACAAATTCCCTGGCAAATGAGGCAAAGAAGGAAGCAATACTCCTCTCTTGCATCACTACTTCAACCAAATGGAATTTCATATACAGTGGTGCCTTGACTTACGAACTTAATCCATATTGGACTGGTGTTTGTAAGTTGAAATGTTCGTAAGTCGAAGCACCATTTCCCATAGGAGTGCATTGAAAACCGAAAGAAAAAAACACCAAATAAAATAAAAAGAACACAGCAAGCCCGATTGGAAGGTCCATTGCTGAGGTTCAAGAAGAAGATAAAAAGTCCATAAACAAAAAGTAAAGCCACCTCTGTTGCTGAAGTTTAAGAAGAAGAAAAAACCCTCCAGAAACAAACACTAAAGCCACCTCTATTGCTGAGGTTTAAAAAGAAGAAGAAACCTCCAAAAATAAATAGCAAAGCCACCAACAACACAGTACAGAAACATACCCGCCCCAGCCAAAACCCACCAGAGCAGTATTTTAAAAGGAGGCAACAGCAGCTTACCTCCCTGTAGACACACACACACACACACACACACACACACACACACACACACACTAAAGCAGAAGGAGGCACCCCACAGCCTCCTAGGACGCAGCCCCAAGCCTCCTAGGACGACGACACAGTCTCTAACTGCCGAAAGTGAAAGAGCTACAGTAAAATGCAACCTCATCTCCATCTACAGTTAGAAATCTGAATTGCCTGCCTTTTTCCCCTGCCTGTTTCTGTTTGTAAGTGGAAGTCCATTTGCAAGTCGAAGCAAAATGTTGCGACCGGAGCTGTTCATAAGTTGAAATGTTCATAAGTAGGGATGTTCATAAGTCGAGGCATCACTGTAGATGGCTGACGCCAGAAGGTCTATTTTTTCGAATTGACACACAGAGATATAATATAACATTGCCGATGAAAGTGCAAGATTTTATGGGAAAAATGAGAAAAATCTGAAAATACAGGGAGAAAAAAAGGAGAGGAAACCAGAAGAAAGACCTCAAGAGAAATCAGATCACCCATCACAATCAGAATCAGACACAGAGCTAGGAGATCAGGAAATAGCTGAGCCAAGACGTATCAGAGGCATGATGAAGAGAAAACAGAAAGGTAGTAGTCAACAACAAGATGACTAGAAAACAAATGAAGTTTTTTTTCAGTCAACATAAATGGCCTGAACTCACCTCAAAAATGGAAAAAGATCTTTCTACAACTGCAGAAATGGAAATCTGATGTAATTTGCATTCAAGAAACCCATATGAAAAGAGCAGATCAGAAACTGCTGGAATGCTCAAGGCTAGGAAAACTGTTTGTAGCTTCGGACATAAGTAAAATGAAGAAAGGTACATAAAGAAAGAACTGGAACCAAAACTAACATTTGCCTCAGACAATGGAAGTATACTAATGGTGAAAATCCAAAGAGAATCAAAGAAAATGCTA